CTACATTTAGGGATACGCCCGATCACATGGAATTTCTGCGTGGCATCAGTTCCGTACCCGATTATTGCGACCTGATTGCACATTACGGTCTCCTTCCGGACCTTAAAGGTCGTAGACTCATCGATTCACAAAATAATGTGTACGTGTCGGGCATTGTCAAATCGGTACCACAGCTTGCTATTAGCACGATCAAACCCAGTACGAAATTCGCGAGTATCTTATCTGAATTTCCGGAGGTCACCGGTTTAGAACAGGTAACTCCGAATTGCAGTAGCGATGTTCGTCATCATATCATTACCACGGGCCCGCCGGTAGCTGAGCGTCCCAGGCGATTAAGTCCGGAAAAATTAAAAGCGGCAAAGGCTGAATTTCAACGGCTAGTCAAAGCCGGTATTTGCCGTCCGTCAATGGGCAAGTTCACATGGTACCGAAAAAAGACGGATCATGGAGGATCTGCGGTGATTACCGTCGTCTTAACGCAATTACCGTGCCGGATAAATTTCCCGTACTGCATTTGCACGATTGCTCCTCCAACCTGCGTGGGAAAGTCATTTTCTCTAAGCTAGATCTGTATCAGGCATACAATCAAATTCCAGTGGCGCCGGAAGATATTTCGAAAACGGCTGTCGTTACGCCCTTCGGGCTGTTCGAATATAAATTCATGACATTCGGGCTTAGAAACGCGAGTCAAACATTTCAGCGTCAAATCTTCCGTGCTCTAGGCGATCTGGAATTTGTGTTTGCATTCATCGACGACATACTCATAGCGTCGACGTCTCTTGAAGAGCACGAAGCTCACTTGAAGCACACGCATAGTGTTATAGCGATTAAAAAAGTTTTATTTATGACTCAATGTAAATAAATGAGAGTTCGGCAAGCAAGAATTAGAATTCCTCGGCTTTACGATTAACAGCGAAGGGTGTAAATCAACACTTGATAAGATTCAGGCTATTCGCGAGTTTCCAAGCGATATCTTATAAGTGTCTGTCTGAAGTTAATTATATTTTGTCGTTGGGAAGATTTATTAAAATTATATGGCGAAAGTTATCCTCCTCTTCGGGCGCGCATACGTTCTCAAAGTTGGTCGCTCGTTGCTGAACGAATTAGCTTCTTGCGCTGCTTCTGGAATCGCACTGCACAAGTCATCGCGTATGCCATACGCTGGCTTCAAATTCTCGACTGATACACTGCGCTGTGCACCCTTAACTTCAATATCGAAAACTCGATTCGAAACACGATGCGAGAGCCGGTGTAGTACTCTCTAACGCTCTCTTGGTACCGCCCATCCGTAGAAAAACATGGGAACATGAATATAAATCTTTAAATACGAATGCGCGTTTCTTGTGCTTATGCTCTATCGAGATTGGCTTAACTTTGCGCATATGCTCGCGGAATTCCTCAATGAAAATCTGCAGACTAGGAGTGAAGTCATCAGGCAATATAAATTCTCCGGGGACGCGCAGCGTCGTTCCATAAACAAATTCCACAGGCGATGCGCCGGTGTCAAGGTGGACATGAGTACGCAAACCTAATAATACGGTCGAAAGTACTCGTGACCAACCTTCATTAGCATGACACATAATAGCAGCTTTTAAGCTTCTATGCCACCGCTTGATCATACCGTTCGAAGCGGGATGATACGCCGTGGTACGAATTCGTTGACAGCCAATCAGCTGAAGAAATGCCGTAAAAAGTTGCGCTTCAAACTGGCTACCTTGATCAATAGTTATCGTTTTGGGTGCTCCAAAATTTGCTACCCAGTTGTCGTAAAACGCATGTGCCACTGTAATGGCTTCAATGTCTTTCAGAGGTATTGCTACTGGCCAACGCGAAA